TAATATCAGAAGTTAGAGTATTAATTTTAGGAGTAGTTTTAGACATCTGGATTGGGGTTCCTTACAGACTAGGTAAGCTTCTTCATCTTCCCACCATGTTCCCAGCTCCAACACCAACACACCTCTCAGTATATTAGCTTAATTCTCCCTGAAGTTTTTCCTATGCTACAGAATATGGTGCTGTACAGGAAGCTGTAAAATGTCTTACAAATTGGCTGAGGTAAATCAGTGCCAGGATGGCCCCCTGCCCACTCTGTCTAGTAGTGCTGAGAGCCCCTAGCTAACCTGTCACTGCTGCTCTCTGGTGTTGCAGTGCTGTAACACTGCATGAGGTTGCATACATGCACCAACTATTTTGGAGGTAGCTGTGTGTTTCCAATATATTTTGCATTTCCTGGATTTAGATATTCCTGCCTATCTACTTTAATTGGTGCCTAATTAGCACCAGTACTGTGCTTTCCCCATGTGACCTACTCCATTTTTGCATGTCTAAATCTGTCCAGTCCATCGTATGGTGTTACTCTGTTAACTGTCTAAACAAATGTAGCTTTTAATGGGTCTGTTGTGTGAAAAGTCATGTTTACACACTGAAACCGCTGCCTTTCTATTAGTTTTTGCAGACAAATGCAGGAATTAGACTGCTCTTTGAAAATCAATACAAAGAAGACACAAAGACAAAGGGAACACAGTCTGGGTGTTCTGAGTGGATATTTATGAGGGGAAAGGATTGATCATCAAGACTATATGTTATAGAGCATCCTCTTTTCTATCTAGCTTTGATTGCCCCTTCTGAATGATATGCATGCTGACTAAAAAGGAAATCAATCTGGCTGAATTCTCTTGTTACCCATTTTCTGAGAAAATTAACCAAACAAATAAAAACAGTGGTATCAGGACTTCAGATGGCCCTGTAAGCAGCACATTGCTGGAGATAGCCAGCCGTGCCAAGGGATTAATATAAATTCCTTGTGTCAAATCCATCATACTCCAAGCGATATTGATAGAACATGCTAAGGTAATTCCAAGTACCATTTCAATTACAAATTATAAATTTTTCTTCTGCAGTGACCTGCTCCATCAGAGTGTCACTAAATTGTATCAATCTGGCACACAAGCTCATTTCCCTGTCTTCAGATATTTGCTATCATATTTTTCATAGGCATATATATTCCTGAACCTTCCACAAAGGACAGAAATTAATACCACCAGCACAGAGCTGCAATTCCAGTTCAGCCGAGGCAGATTAAACTTGAAAGAATTCTATATGAATTAAATGAAAGAGCATGGTGCATCTTTATTTCATCTTCATCAAATTATCAACTGTTGCTGAATAAAGCAAAATAAAGCTTTCACAGTTGCCATCAATTACTCTGTTATACTCTGAACCCTTTCTGAATCACAGAGTCCTGGAGGAATTGAAATTTGAAGTCTTTCATGGGTGCTTTCCAGATGACATTGCATTATGTCATTCTGTTATACCAGTGAACCTTTACACAGTGAAGCCTTATATCTAGATTTCTTCTATCTTCGCTGTCTTGTGAAAACTAGGGCCCAGTCTGTATCTTATTCATTTCTAGTTATTTATACCTTTGCAAACTGTCAACTCTGAAATATAACAGCTGAGAAATTTTCCTTAATGAGAATTTACTTCAAAAATTGACTTAGAAAATAATAATTTAAAAAAAGGTGTTCAGATGTTCCTAGGAATAAGAAAAATATGTTTTGCCTAGCAGATCTCACCAGCTAGTAGATAACCCATCCTGATCTGTCCAAATGAGTCTCTCTGCAAAGAATTGCCAGACACACAACCTTATTGTAGTCTTTATTCTCGCTCCTTGAACTTGTTTCTGAATCCATGCATTTGGAATTATGATTCAGTACAGGAATATCTAGCACAGTTTGAATGTGGACTCACTTAGAAATTTTAGGCAGCTATGCTCTCTGTTCCTTTGTAGAGAGAAGCATCCTCTCCCAGCCCTGGGGAAAGTGCCTCTGTGCTCACTATGTCCTCCTTGCTGCAACTATTGCAGCCAGGAGGGGGATTCAGTCTGAGCAAAAGCTGGACCTAGTCTGGATGAGGTCATGGAAGAAAAAACAGATTTGGACAAAGATCTCGGAGCTGAGACCAGATCTAGAAGGGGAGGAAAAACAGCAACACAAGGTCAAGACAAGCAGAGGATGGGGACTGCTGCAGAGAATACCACTCTGAAAATGATTGATTCTGTGTCTGCTAGCACCAGAGCACTCCTACATGATATCAGGTGCATTTCTTGAACTACAGGTGGCCACCAAGTGCTCTTTTTACACTTGGTGTTAGGTTTGAGAGCCTGGGGTCCGATATGTAGTACTTAGCATTCACAGCTGCATCTGAAGTCAAAGGGAGCTATGCTTCAAATGTACAAAGCACTGAGTCATGCTAACTCAAGGCAAACCCCAGGCACTCAAGGCTGGCAACCAAAATTAATAGGCATATTTAACCTTAATCTCTCTGTCTCATTTCCCAATAAGTAAAATATTGATATTCCCTACATATCATGAATATAATTCATAAGCATTCATTGTATGCTCAAGGTACTGTAACAATAAATGCTGTAGGAAAGCCTGCTACAATGTAAATAATTCCACATTATAAACAGGATTAAACAGCTTTAAACAAAGCCTGAGGACACATGCTGAACAAAGAGATTAAATGTAAACTGAAAGGCTGCACAGTGTCTGCTCCATGCACTCTACAAGGCAGTGGTCCTCTGAACAAAACAGTGACATCACACAATTAAAGGCTAAATTCTAAGTCATACCCTCTACAAGTCAAAACAAGCTTGTTCTGAAAACTCTTACCTTTGGCCTACCCTTAAGTGTCAATACTTGACTTTTAAATCATAATATTCCTTTCATGTGTGGCTTGTGTTTTGAATTCTTAGGGGAATGTAATATATATAGAATGTAATAATTTAAGGAAATATATATATATAAATAAATTGCTTTACACTGTGCATGCAAATTCATACTGGCTTTTTTAAAGCGGATGAGTTATAAGGATTAGTTATAAGGGAAAAACAAAAATAGGAAAACAGTTGCATTGTATCAATCTGTAGCACAAAATAAATTGTATTTATTTTCCTGAACATTGCCCTAACTAGGAATTGTAATAATAGGTGTGATAGTTCACATATATGAAAGTAAATAATTTTACAGCTAATTTACATGTTTAAGCATATGTTTCAACAACAAAGATTTTTATTTCTTCTTCCTCCCAAGAGATAGGTTGATGCTTAAGCATCTGTTGATGCTTAGAAATATGGCAAGAACTCTCCACAATATGGCCTTCCCACTTAAATTTTGCTCAATTGATTGGTCTCTTTTTCCATTCTTTTTTTTTTTTTTTATCTTTGCCTTGAGATCAAAGACATTCTTTGCAACCAGAAAAATAAAGATTTATTGATTCGCCTTACAGGTGTTGTCTGTCTTCTCATCAAAGCATCCATTTTTCTCAAACATTCAGTGTAAGAGCTGTTACTTTCTCTTTTTCAGAAATGATATGTCATACCTCACTTTGCTTTTGCTACAGGTTTCATATGACTGTGGAGCATCTGTGCATTGATGTCGTAAAATTGTGTAACAAAAACCAAGAGATTCCTCTCCAAATTAAGGCCTGTTTTTTCAGGCAATATGAGAGTTTATTTATCATAAATAATTTTTTTATCAAGGAATGCAAATGGGAATGGTTCTTTATTGTTAGACTCTCTTGTCATCCTCTTATCCACATCAGCAAGATTAATTTCCCTATTTTACCTTTGCTGCTTGTTGCCAACAAAAAAATCAAAGTCAGTAGCATGGAAGCATTTACCCAAGCCTTTCAAGTGGCAAAAACATCTGAATGCAGTCTCCTGAGCAAAATTTCCAGCTGTAAGTGTGAAAAGATTAAGAGTCAGGTGCCCTAAACCGGAGTACTTATTTTTTAAGCCTTAAAAGGAAACGTGGCGAGTTATACTTGGCTTCTGATTTTCAATTTTTCTTACAAACTACAGCAAATAGAATTTCTCTCTTTCTTAGAAATGAAGAGTCTCATATGACACCATGAGCAGGATCTTGGGAAATCCCTGATTCCAGCCAGGTCCATAAAAAAAATGGTGAACATAATTTACCACCCCGATCTCTCCTCCCTCCACTGCTGAGCTGGCAACACAACTACAAGGGGAATGAAATACATTTCTACATCAGACAATGCCCAAGAACAAGAATAGCTCCGAATAAGCCATCAGGACACATTGGGGACATATGTTGTATAAATAGGATGAAGCTATTACACAGCTCAGCGCTGAGCGAAATGCCATTCACCCACCAGTCACATGGCTGGAAGTGGCTGTCTAGGAAAAATAGCATGATCGAGTAATTAGAGACTGTATCATAAACCATATGTATACAAGGGGGTCAAATTAAGGCTGCGTGTGCAATCTTAATTTTGTCGTTTCTGTATACTGGTCTAAAGCCTTGTCTCCAGCAGACAGCAGCTCTGCTTTAATCACCCCAGCAAGGCTGCAAGGAGAAGAGTGTTCCCCTTCGTCCCTCCCGAACGACGTTACACGACTGTAAAGGCAGCAGACCTTAGAGCCGCTCTAGACTTCGCTCGGCACGGCGCAGTGTCCGCGCCGGCGGCCGGGCAGGTGCGCTGTGCCGGCGGGGCCGGCGCCCGCAGGGGTCGCTGGCGCGGAGGCGGCGGGCGCATGGCGGGACCGGAGGCGGGCGGGCCGGGGCCGGCCGGGGTGGGAGGGCCCGGGGCCGGGCCGGGCCGGGCGGGGGGCGGCGGGGCCGGGCGGCGCGCATAAGTCGGCCGCGAGTTGCGGGCGGCCGGTGGCGGAGCGCTGGCTGTAACTTGACACCGGGGCGAGAGGCCGAGCGGAGAGAGGGAGCGAGAGTGGCGGCGGAGGAGGAGGAGAGGAGCCCCAGGGAGCGGGATGGTGACCACCTCCTTCCCCTCCCCTTAGCGGCGCTCCGTAGCAGCAGCAGCAGCCGCCGCCGCAGGAGCGCCGGGGACTCTCGCCTGCCGCGGAGCCGGGGGCAGACGGCGATGGGGACGGGACGGATCCCCTGAGCTCCCGGGAACTTTCCCGGCCGCGGGCAGCTGGAGCCGGACAGGCGGATGGAGGATGCGCTTCCCCCGGCGGGCTGCGTGAGCCGGCGGCGGCGAAGGGGAGGATGAAGAAGAAGCAGCAGCACGGCGGCGGGGAATGCCCAGCGCCCTGGCCCCCCGCGGCAGCGGCGGCGGCGGGAGGGGGCCCGGGCCAGGGCGGGGGCTTCCTGAGGCGGCGGCCCCTCTCGCTGCTGCCCTTCCTCTCGCTGCGCGACTATGTCTTCTGCATGGCCACCCTGCTGCTCTTCTGCTTGGGCTCCCTCTTCTACCAGCTCAACGGGGGCCCCCCGCACTTTCTGCTGGCCCTGCGGCACTGTCTGGGTAAGGGCAGCCGGCGGCGGCGGGGACTTGTTGCGGCTCTCCCTCACCCCCGTGGCTGCTGGGCTGGGGCCTCCCTCCGCACCGGGGACACGGCGGCGGGGCTGGGGCGGCCGGAGGCCGGGGCTGCGGGGCGGGTGCCAGGCGGGACGCGGCGCCGTGAGCGCCGACCCCCGAGTGGGACCGGCCGGCGGCGCCCCGGGAGCCGAGCGTGGGGCGCGCCCCGCCACAAGTTCATGTGGCCAAAGCAGAGTCCCCTCGAGACTTTCTCAGCCCCGGGACCGCTCCGCACCCGCGGGCGGCTCTTTGCGTGCCCGGTGGCCGCGGCAGAGCGCGGTGTGCCGGCTCCTCTGGCCGCCGGGTCGGTCCGAGGCGGAGCGGAGCGGAGGCAGCGCTCGCTGCCCGCGGGTCGCGCACCGGGGGAGCTCGGGCGCAGCCGGCCTGAGCTGTCAGCGCCTCCCCGCCCCGTGCTGTGCCCGGAGAGCCGAAGCAGGGTTACGGATGGCCCACAGTAGAAGATGCTGATTAAAAAAAAAAAAAAAAAAAAAAATCCCAGATGCACTTTGTGAACCACGCATGCATCCTGGTGCAGGAGGTTGGAGGCTGGAGAGAAGGGTGTGCTTAGGACGGTCAGCGCAGCAGCGCTCAAACACTCGAGCTCGCTCTGGTGCTTTGCCACCCCGGTTGCCCGCGTAACCCCGAAGGAGATGCCCCGGTGGAGCGGGTGTAAGCCTTCGCTGTGGCCTGTAGTTCTCACCCTCATGTTGACCGCAGGTTTTCACGTGGTTTTTCTTTGTAGCCAGTGCCCACATCGCTGAACGTTGCTTCCCTGCTCAGCAAAAAAGTTGTGTGAAAAGGAGTTTATTGTAAGATTGAGTAAGTACCTTAGGCTGGCAAGACTAATTCAGGTGGTGGTAGGACAAGGGGGAATGACTTTAAACTGAAAGAGAGCAGATTTCGTTTAGGTGTTAGAAAGAAATTGTTCACTATGAGAGTGGTGAGGTACCAGAACAGGTTGCCCAGAGAAGCTGTGGGTGCCCCATCCTTGGTATTGTTCAAGGCCAGGCTGGATGGGGCTTTGATCAACCTGTTCTAGTAGAAGGTGTTCCCTGCCCATAGCAGGGGGATGGGTTTCGATTGGAAGGGACCTTAAAGACCATATAGTTCCATTCTGTGATATGAAATAAGGAGCAAAAACCGAGTGTTTCTCAGTATAGGAGGATTACTACAGAATAATTTGTGGTGCCAGTTTTTGCCACATTGGCTGCACTGCGTTACTTGCATGTGAAGGTGAGGCTTTGGTGGTTCATGCTGCAGAAGTACAAGCCATAGGAGAGAATGTTAGGTTACAAACAAAAACGCAGTTCATGTATTTCAGAAAAATTAGCTGCAGATCCTGTTCCATGTGTCCATATTTTGTGAACATTTTAAGAATACAATCCTATGTGTAGATGTTGCTTTTCCTTATGGGAAAACTATTCCATGTCTCCAGTTAACTAGTGACAAAGTATGGAGAGGCAGTAGGACAAGATACACAAACACAAGTTGCAACAAGGTAAATTCCAATGAGATATCTGGGAAAAAAAAATTTCAATTTGTAAGGAGTCAGGTGTTGGAACAGGCTACCCAGGGAGATTGTGATGTCCTTGCAGATATTCAGAACTCAGCTGGACAAGCCTCTGAGCAGCCCAAGTCAATTTTTCTTGTTTTGTTGGGGAAATAGGACCAAGAGAACAGAAGTTACTTCCAGATAATGTTACTCTGTGATTCTTCTGTATGAAGTCAGTGAAAATTCAAGTGAAAACAGGAGAAGAAAAATGATTTGGATATTGCTTCATGAACACAACAGCAATTTTGACTTGAGTTTTAATTACTTTTTTCCCTTTAATATTACAATTAGGAAGAAATTCCTCCACTGAAGAGGAAACTGACAAATTTTCCGCCATAGAATCACAGAATTGCTAGGGTTGGAAGGCATCTCTGGAGATCATCTCGTCTACCTCCCATCCCAAGGCAGGGTCACCTAGAGCAGGTCAACACAGGAACGCATCCAGGTGGGTTTTGAATGTCTGCAGACAAGGAGACTCCACAGTCTCCATGGGCAACCTGTTCCAGTGCTCTGCCACTTCTTGTGTTGTAGCTTATGGCCATTGCTCCTCATCCTGTCCCTGGGCATCATGGAAAAGAGTCTGGCACCATCTTCTTGGCACCCACCTTTGAGATATTTGTATGCGTTAATGAGATCCCCTCTCAGTCTTCTCTTTTCTGGACTAAAGAGGCACAGCTCACACTTGTAGAATATTTTGTTTGCAATTGATTGGTACTTTAGTGGGATTAAACACAATCTCTGGTTTCAGAGGAAAGTTTTTGTCAATTTTTAAAATTTTCATCTTCAGGAATAAATATTGCTTAACTTGGGTGAAAATAGACTGAAAGAAACACAGGGTTACTCAGTTTTTGACTTTGTGGCCTTTTGACTGCTTTTGTGGAATGGGGGAAATTAAACTAGGATCTACTACCCTAATCGCTCTAGCCAGTAGTTGCATGTCTGCTGGAAAATCTTCTGAGGCCTGCAGATGAAAGGCTTGAAAACCACTGCATCTTGGAGATGCAGTCATAATAATTTTTGTGAGGTGCTCAGCAAGTGCAGAAAAGCCTTTGTTGTGTGTGCCTGAATGTGATGAGCCCCTGGGGATGGAGTGCAATCTTACTGAAAATGTTTTGGGGTTCTTTTGAAGTGTAGGATTCTTGCAAAAGAAAGTAGATAGATCTATTAATCTCTGCTAATGAACTTCTGCACTTGTTACATGAATTAGTGTAGGAATTTCCTTTCTGTGCCTGAGTGATCAGGGATGTTAAGGAGATGCAGACTTGGCTAACATCCTGCACCAGGCTGAGAGAGAAGCAGAGTCCTCATGGCTGGCTGGAGTCCTAGTACCCACTAAGCAAGTGGTGCTGCTGCCTCTGCAGACAAGTGGGATATACTTTGGATACTGAGGTGTCTTTTTGCATGCAACTTTATGAAATTACTTTATACTTCCTTGGTCGGCAGTTTCATTTCAGTTGTCAGAGTTGATCCACATGGGTGATATTGCTGAACATTTTATTTTAAAAATTTTTTAGAGTGGTATGTGCTCTTTGAGGTATCCAGCTGAGAAGGCTTTCAAATTTAGAACAATTATTTTTTGTAAATAGAAGGCTTATTGTCTTCCAGGGAGCTAACAGAACTGCTTCAAGGAATAGGTATTGGGCATCCCGTCTTGCGAACTACTAAAGCTGTACATGTAAACATGTGTCTTCTACAGCACCGGCAAGTGTCATGACATTAAAAAAAAATAAACTGTTTTCCCCCCCTGAAGCCACAGATTCAGTATATATGTATAAGCAACTCTTTCCTTGTACTCCTTCCAACCCACAATTTATGGTGTTAAAATTCGCCTCTCCAAACAAAAATGAGCAGTTAGTTTGTAGACCATGTTTGCAATGTGAATGTTGAAGTTTCCTTCACTGTATTTAAATCTACAGAAACCAAGGATTTGCCTAAAGAGAATATTGATTTCTCTATTTTGTGCCCTCCATAGTGTGAAGGTGTCTTGTCTGACTTCAGAGTTTTTGTTTGCATTTGCAAGTTTCAGTGCATTGCTCATGTTTAGTTATGTTATTGTGAGGGGAATGCTTGGATTTTTTTTACCTGAGAACTTGAAAGGAAGTTCTTGAGCAACAACACAAAACTTCAGTAGTGATCTGGACAGAAATCACACCTGCATCAGACAGGTGTGTGCATAAAAGAAAATCATGACAGTGTGAAAACACTTGGTTTGAAAAACTTTTTTCATTTTTTTTTATTAGGCCTGCATCATATGCTGTGGAGGAGGTATACATTTATTTTCAAAGGAATGATGTGTGAACGTTTGCTATTTCTATTAACTTTCCTTTGGAGGTGGGGAAGATTAATGTGTTTTCAGAATATTCAGACTATTAGTAATTTTTTTTCTCTCCCAGACCAGCTTCTCTCATGTCTTGTCCATATATACCTCTTTTTGTTTGGTTGCCATACTGATTGGAGAGAATCTTGGAAAAACATTATGGCAGTTTGTAGGGTAGACAATAGCTGTAGTCAGTATTTCCACTTGACATCGTCATTTCTTCTATTTTGTAGCAGAGTCATCCTGAGCAAATGAGAGGAGAGTAGTAGATATGAGGCTGTGTTTTGTTATTTATCCTATTCTGACTTCAAGCTCACAGTAATTCAGAGTTTAGAAGGTCTGTGGAAAGGTGGTGTTTTCTGCTGTCTGTTCTGGATGTGGTTCACAGTGAGAGTTCCAAGTTTCACACTGCAGTCATCACATCAGGAGGGGATCTAGAGCCCTGTTTTTCAGCATGAAATTATTGGAGAGGGCATAGACATATGTGAGTTATTTCTGAAGAACCTGTGGAGGATACTTAAAAATGGATCTGTTGCCAGTAGGCTTAAATTTGCTATATGGGGGTGCATACCAGTCCTGGACCAAAAATGAACTTCAAAAACCAGGAAGGTTTAAATACTGACAGGTTTTCCTGTAATGAACTGCAGTATTGGGATTTGCATAAATGAGGTCTTGCTTGTTGAATCTGCCAAAGTAATCCTGGCTCACTAATTGAAAACCAACTCCAGCAGTGGAAGGAAGTGAGAAGAGTCTTCCCTTAGATGAGTAAGACACAAATCGTAAATCTTGGATGGCCCAGTGGCTTTTGGGGAATGTGCTAGGGACTCCACTCCCCTGCAGTGGTTTTACATTGCTTTGTTCTCTTCTGCTTTAACTTGTGATTACAGAAATGAGAATTTCTAAGGGCTGGTAGCAACCCTCTAATGGCTAATAAAAACGTAAAGCCTTTGTATCTTCAGTATTTGCTGTGCAAACTTGTTCATGTCAATTAAAACATTTCCCCTGTTGAACTTGCCAGGAGCCTGTACAACAAGTATACTGGTTTGGTTGCATGTGACAGTTGCCTTGTCCTGTGGT